ATGTGGAAAGACAGAAACTGCCTCAGAATTTATCTGTCATTGACGCAAAAATGTAGCTCCTGACTGACTACATATCATTTTTGTCGCAGACTGAATTAAAACTCGGATTATGTTTTCGAACTAAAGATGAAGATCATACTAATAACAACCAATTTATTCGAGGGGGGGGGATAAATTATTTTTCGTCGCTGCTAAATCCTCGCACTTTGTGGACTTGCAGTATTATTAAACATCTTGAACATAAGCTACAGAAATAACCTCGTTTGTGTTTTGAATTCGGTTGAACCTAGTAGTGGTCGACCCATGTACTGTGGAGCGTCAGAGTTATCGGCGGCTGCTGCTGCCATCTGCTGGACAAAGTTACAGACTTTCTTTCTCAGGCCCTTGTACTTAACGTAGTGGATTTTAGCGTTCTGAGTGGCAAGACAGTCTGTATGTATTATCACTGATATTCTTGGCCCTGCCAGTAAATTCGAATTTGAAATATCAACACGGAAAATTTACGTGTTAACGTACACGTAATTTGTTAAATTATTTTAGCGTTCTGAGTGTTAACGTACACGTAATTTGTTAAATTCTAGTCACTAAGTGTTGTAAATGTTTACAAAAATGATGGTACAAAATATTTAAACAGGTGTAATGCGGTAGTATGTGTTTAGACTCTGTATGAATGTAGCGAACTGGTGTGGGTAAGCAAAGAATTCGATCTGTGTTGTGGAGGTTTATGAGAAGCCCTTTTATATGTTAGGAACGTTCAGAATTTGAAAATGGGGTAGTGAGTATGCCGATGTTGCAGGATCCGAGAGACATGTGTATTTGTCGGTCCATATGCGGTTAGAATCGTTCAGATAGTATTTGCAATTTCTCCGACAACCACACAGACGTGTAATTGTGCCCCCTGTAATCTCTCTGGTCTGCAGTTATCCGTTTTACTCTCGTTTTACTCTTGTGATTATCCCATAGATGATGACCACGGTCATATCGGGTGATAAACCCTATGTTTAGCAAGCACTGCGCACTGGCTGTTATCTGGTCTTGCCGGACGGTCTGGCAGCGCAGTATTATCTCCGTCCGACCAGCTGCACCGACTCAAACCCCCCACCCCCACTCTACACTGTGTGGCTATCGGTGTTCCACAACCCTAAATCGACTGATTAGGCTGCCAGAATTACTGTATCTACCGAACGCTGTGATGTTCGTAGCAAGTCGACGTTATGAGAGCTAATTGTTTCTCTTGAATACATAAAAGTAATACCAGCATTTCCCAAGCAGCGACTGGCTGTTGGTCGGACGATCGCTTCTCCAATTATGTCAGGGACAGGACTTTTATTTTCGTTCCACTGTTTGGGAGTAAAGCGGCCGGAGCATTAGACTCACTCTGATTGTGTGGAGATTTGTCTTGTATATGAATGCATATTGTGGTGCTTAGTCATAGTGACAGCATCACTTTTTGTGATACGGAAGAGAAACGTTCTGGCCTTTGTGAACAAGACAATGTCATTTCAGGTTTCTTAAAAGGCGGAGCTGAGTGACTGTCAGGTTCTCAAGGAAGCCTATGCTCCGTGGAGTAGAGCATGGGCAGAGGGAGAAATGTATCTTCACCTTCTGTTCCCACAAAATTAAATGTTTCTGTGTCGGCCATATCGGAAATCTTTGGCGATCCTGGCAAGAATTTTTGCTCAGTCCCCGGCTTGTGATAGAATGTGCAAAGCTTGTAGCAGACAATCCTGAGACACGCCAGCTTACAACAATCTGAAGAGGAGGATGGATTGTGCTACTAAAGCATATGAAAATATTTTATTGCACTCGAGGGGCGCTCTGAAGTAACAAAATGAACGTGTTTACACACACGTGTCCGTTACATGTCATAAACATTACGTTGTAGTAACAAAAAATAACACTTTCCTGGTGTAAATGGGCGTTACTCGCGGGTGTAAAAAAATACGTAGTGGCCCTATGAAATACATCCCATTAAAGCACATTGTTTATTAATCCCAACAGAGGAATGGGGAGTTCACAAATTCCTGTTGCTACGCTTGGAGAGAGGAGGACAGAGACGCTACCGCATTGGTGGAATAGTGGATCAACCACGGAGTTTACCGATTTTCTATGCCCTACCCTCGCTGCTCCAGCAACATCTCATTTATCTCTAATTTGCATAAGACAAATTTTTGTAATCCAGCGTGGCTGTTAAACATGCGAACGTTTAGACGTGGGTCCTGTTAACAGAATTTGTGTATTACTCTTTCGAAGAAACGAAGTGCTGAATGTACAGATTGTTAATGTAAAATACGAACTGGAAACGGTAAGGAACACAATGCAAAGACGTATCTGATGGGAAAGGTGTTGCAGAATATCATCGTGATATGTCTCGCTACAGGGGAAACAAGCGATTGAAAACACGTAAGGAAATGCATGCTCGAAATAAGAAATTCCAACGCGTGTGATGTGTTGCGTGTAGATTTTCATTTCATGAACTTTTGATGCTATCCTCAACACCGTAGGAGCCGAGGCAGCTCGGTCAGTATAATGATGACCGTGGTTAGAATCGCGGAAGAGATAAAATAATGCTTCTTCTGACCTCTGCGCCCTGACCAACTCTGGGGTCCATTCAGCACGCATATCAGTTGCGTACCGGGTATTCCTTTCGCGGAGTTAAATCGTAGCCAGGGAGTGACGCTGACCACTCATCCACATTTAGTGCCTAGAACAAGAACGAGTTGGAGCTGCACTGCGTCTTCCCCCAAGCGCCTCAATGGCGCGTAGCGGGACAGTTTTAATTAACTTGTAAACAGCGTGAAACAGTAGGGAACGAGGAAGGGATCTTCGGTAAAGATTTGGTCAACATCAATCTGTGGTTCTCGAGTTATGAGATGACAGCGTAATTCTCTTTTTATTATTTATTATTATTTAGTGTTCTGTCTGACGACAGGTCCATATGAACAGGATCCTTCCATCCTTTTCTCGCACTGGGACCTGTTCATATACGTTCTTGGCAGATGATCCAGAAGTGGTTTGCCATTGCCTTCTTCTGTGTGTGAATGGAGTAATTGTTGGGATGCCACGGAGGAAAACTCCGTGTTGCCTAGACCACGGCCTTGCCCAACACAAGTTACAAATTCGGGCACTGCCCGAGACCCCAGGATTACAAGGCCAGCGTTCTAACCGCTAGACCACCGTGGCTTCTCTTTTTGTATAATAATCTAAAAAAACTTCAAGACTTACAGAAAACATGTATTTGGCATTAAGTATTTTGTTTCCCCTGTAACATGATTATGTTTAAATCCAGATAAGTAGCGATAATTTATTTAACTAGTTTATCAGTGTAATGGGAAAGTATGTTTTTTTGCTGTACAGGCTGAATTTTTAGCAATTTTTTAGATGAACTTTGGCACCAGATGTTTAAGTTTCAAGTCCTTCATTTCAAAATATCAAATATTGCGGTATAGCTACTTTGTAGTAGGAATGTATAGGGATCGAATCTTGGGCATGACTATTTATACTGTTTTACATAGTAACTAGTGCTGTAATGGCAGGGCTTCTAAATAGGCTACGGTCGTTTCCTTCCACATCTTTTCCATTTTGTCATGTAGAATCTTTAATCAACTTCTTTGTCTTATGTTGTAAGTACTTTAAAACAGTTTTGTTTTAATTGCAAGCCTTCAATTCTGTTTTCGTTCCTGGAAGATGATGCCGTATTTTCAGTTGACTATTGTTAACCAATAGACTAATTTCATTGGGCAGAGTCCGTCTTGAGGAACTAAAGGACGCTTAGAGTCTCAAGAAAAATTCCATCTTTTATGTATTCTGAAGGTATATTACCGTGTTCAAGAGTCCGCACTGGACCATATATTGAACCATTTAAGTCCAAAACTTTACACCCTGTTTCTTTAAAATTCATTTAAATATACCGACGTCCTCCCAACTACACGTCTCCCAAATGGTCGTTACCCTTCAGATTTCCCGATTACAATTCTGTATTCATATCCATCACTTCCATGCGTGCTATGTATCCCGTCCCGTCTTAACCAGATCGCCACGGTAATAATTCCTGCTTGTTTAAGAGTTAAAGTTATTAATCTCATTTTTTCGTTGTCCATCTTTCTTTTGTCTTTTAGTACCTAATGTTATTTTAATCATGTGGGATTTGAGGCATTGATTGTGGTGGCGATGATGTTTTGCTGGGTTTTGGCAACGCCACGTTCCGGAGAAATGTACTGTCTCATTTTCAACCCTGAAAATGGAGACAGTATGTTTCTGAAACGTTAGCATCTACCGACGAATCAACGCGGCGCCAAAACCCAGAATATCATGACCGTTCTTCTCAGAACTTTATTCACTAACATTGGCTCACCAACTTCCGAGGAATGTTTTCTGTCTTGCACCACTCTTGCAGCGAGTTGCAGAGTTACAGGAGACGAAGTGTTAGGCCTATCCTACTAACCGGCAAACATCCATGAAGCAACAACCTCTCTGAGCTCAGCGGTCGTATATTAATTTAGAACTCGGGTCAGCGCTGTATCCGAGGCTTGACTTGGCTGTTCCACGCTTCAGCTTTATGAATAATAATTGGGGGATGGAGGTGGTAGGGCGGGTTGCAGAAAACAAGGATCTACTGCTCGTTTTGCTCTGGAGTGCTACACAGTCTACAGATAATCCTGGCGATGTTTTTATACGTCGTATTTGGAGAGCAACGCGAGAAGCAAGGCCCAGGGATGAATGCAGTCCCCATGGGAGCTGTGTTTATTACAGTAGAGCTAGTGCAAATACGAATGTCGGATGCTGCTTTATTGAGCAACCTGAACTGTGTATGTGTACATGTTACTGAATGGATATGTAAGGGTTTATTAATACAAGCAACCACAGCTCATGTTCTAAGGCGTGACCAAAAAGTTCTACGACGAAATGTGTGTAGCGCTGCAAGAAAGAGAAACTGCTGATAAATCTGTACCCAAAAATGTGATGAAAGTTCCTCAGTTTTGGGGGGCCGAGCTCAGTGATCTTATCACTTGACTGACAGAATGCCTCACAACTGACTAATTGTATATGTTGTTCTTAGCATGGAGAATGTTTCAAACCGGGGTGACTTTAAGTGAGTTTCGTAGTAGATGAATTGACACTGAAGCAGGTTTTCCTGAGATCTTTGGATTTATTCTAATAATTATCATTGTGATATTTCTCCATTATGATCCATGACGTGTGCCATAACCCTGACCAGGTATCATACCCATGGTTCTCCGACCCAGCATTTGGCTGATCTCCCGGTAAAGTAAGTTAGGTTTTATTGTTATTCTGTCAGCATAAAAGCAAAGATTCGCCATCTGTTTTCTGCGTATGTCCTATTCATTAGGCCTGGAGTCAGACCGCGAAAATCTTAAGGTCACGAGGTCACAAATCTTTTAAATTTATAATAATAGATCGTTAACAGTATTCTGAATGCAAATAAACGAGAAAGACATAAATACAGAAACATTCATCTTGTGCCTGAAAACACATGGTGTGTTTGTGCGTGTTTGAAAGTAAATGAACAAATTTTGCATCTTGTCCCATTCATTAGCCAGGGGATGCTACGAGACGACAGACCCCAGACGTGGGCTGCGCTTCGTGGACGCTCTTGGCAGCAAGACAGACGCCAGCACTAGAGGATTCGGCGGACTGGCATCACTTCTTCCTGTAATTAAAGCTCGGTCATACTTAGTATTTCTACAGCCACGTATATTTTCTGTAGTCCTCCATATTAGAGTAACAGAACAGGTGCTGGACTTCTGTCGCGAAATGTATCCTGTTCAAATTTTAATTTGCTTACCTTCTGCCCTGACTGAGATGTCACGTGAAAATGAAAGTCTTGTGGGTTGTTTCGCTGTGTAGTCTGGTAGAAATTTACCGATGCTTCGGAGGTGCTTGCTGCTTCTGTCATTAGGGAGACGAGACGAAGTCATCTTTATTGTCGCCGTGGGAACCTGAAATTTGTCCAAGATGTTGCCTGTTCTCAGGTTCTGTCGGTGAATTTTTTAATGGTGCCTGAAGTAAATCTCGGTTACTTCTTCCAATGTTCTACCTACTGACCATTTACAATCATTTCCATTTCTCATTCACTGTATAACCTTTAGAAACAGGGTCGTTAAATAACCAAAGAACAGGTCGTTGAATCTTAGAATAGATTAGAAAAGTCACAAATTGGTAAAAGTGATAGCCTGGGGTTTATGTAATGTGAGTTCACGAATGAAACTCAATCCTGAGCCAGATTCATCCAATCCACATACTCACGTCCTGGTTATTTAAGATCCATTTAAAAATATCCTCCCATGTTTGCTTTATCTCCTCCTTTTCCTTACATGTTGGGAACCCTCGAGGTTAAGTGAATTATTGACACTCCAATGCTGTGGTCAGGGCGCGAGGTGGGGCACTGTGATATATGGGGACCCACTGTGTAAACACTACACACTCACCGCGTATATCACCCGGCTAATATACTGCACTGACTCCATTCCAGAGAGCAAATTTTTGTGAGTTATATTCAACTAACACGTCTGGATGTAAACTTTGCGGTTGTTACGCTACAGTTAGACGCTTTTGATGTTATTCATTATCCTCGCTTCGTGGTCTCTGTTGTCAGGGACTCGTAAAGGGTTGGGACTGTGTGTATAACAATTCTGTAGTTTTGATATACGTCCTACTGTACTGGTTAGTAGTAAACCTGGTTTATATTTTGGAGATTCCTATGTCTTTTATGAATACTGGTTTAAAATAATCATCTCTTCTTATTTTAATTCTGGCAGTCTCCAATCAGGCTTTGTCAACAAAGTTGTTAATAAACAAGTAGATAAAAAAATATCAAGAAGTTTTGTACCAACACATACAGACGTAGACATACATTGATATTCGTATTCAGAATAGCCGGCTTCGGGATTCGATCTAGAGATATGTCGTGTTCCTTTAGTACCACCATCAGCACTCTCCTTTCTTACCTTGATCATGTGTTCTCCATTCCCTTCTGATTCCCCGTCCTCTTTTTCCTCTTTTTAAAATATCTTTCCGCCTTCTCCTACCACTTACTTTTTATCTCTTAAATCTCTTTTTACTCAAACATATTCTGCTTTCATTTGTCTTATTCTCGCCCTTCTCATGTTCTGCTTCTGCTGCTTTTTTGCGCCTGTTTCCCCTTTTGTTACTTCTTGCGTATACATTTTGCAATATTTCAAAGCCTTTCCTCTTCATTTGATAGTACTTGCTTCTTATCTTCTGTCTTCTTCTTCTTCTTCTTGACATCGCTCTCATTCCATTTGTTTGTATTTCAACCTCTTCAATTTCTCTGTCACCTTTTTCTTTCATAATATTTTTCCTGTTGTTTTATTTAATTTTCTCTTCACCTTTCCCTTCCTGTTTCTTATTCTTTCAGTTAGGGTGAAGTCGATGAACGAAGCTCCGTATATACAATATATTTTCTGCATTTCAAGAATTGTTAATCTCATTCTCTTTTAATTTCACCTTCGTCATTCTTCGCACAGGCCTTTGCCCCACCACTCGGCCTGGAATGGCAACCTCTAGATATGCCTTCTTGTTATGATCATCCTCCTCGTTGACACGGAAATGAATTTATACGCACCTTGTAGGAACGAATCTGGATCTGTGTAGCTATGTTTTTCCCTAATGAAACTAATGTGTTATGGGGAGCGTTATACCGCTCTGCGAGTTCTGCTCAATTAAAGACGCTACCAGTTCTGTCTTCTGAGATCCAAAGGGGGCCGTTGGATTCGTTGGTCTCGTTCGTTATGCTGCTTGAAGCAGTGACTTATGTCGACACGTGTGCTAACAGTGGGCCCTTGCTTCTTATAGCTGCGGAGTTTATCATAATAATATTTAAAAAATTATTTCTAACATCGAAGATGATACACTGCGAGACAAATAAATACACGCTGTGGGCAGAAGGAAGAGAAATTGATTGTTAGAACATTTAGTACAGTAGATGTAAGCTATGAATCTGCTTTGACAAATTAACTGATCCAACAATTCATGTAGTCCTAATTCTTTGAAGTTGACCAAAGCAAGGTAACTTCTCCAACTTGGAAAGTTCCATTTTCGTCCTAGTGTCCAAAGTGGTGCCGTTATTTAAGATTATCCAGTTATAGATTTCTGTGCATTTATCATGTCCTCTATACGTGCTACATGACCGCCTATCTTATCTCCCTTGGTTTCACCCTAATAACATTTGGTAAAATTGTAAAATTCCTTTTGTATTTCTGCAGATTCCTCTTAGTCCTACTGGTAATAAGTGAACTGTGTTACGAAGGAGGCGAGGTAAACAGCGCCCCCACTCAGCTTTCTTGTCAGTGGGAACTGTTGAGTCGTGGAGAGCTGTCGGCCGTGGACTGTCGTAAGCTCTGGGTGTCACCACGGTATTTGGTGGCTTGGCTGCGGGAGGATTTCTCCAGGGAGACGCCCAGACCCTTCCTGACAACCTGGGATTAACCCTCGCTGATGACTAACGCATGTCTGCACTAATCCCGTCCCGTTCGAATCCTGGCTTATACACGAAAACCCCGTCACGTGACGCAGCTCAGTCTGTGGCGCGTTTGTTCTGCCAACAGTGGCGACTGAGGTACTCATGTCTTGAGCTAGAGTTGTACTAAATCTGGCCTGCTTCTGAGACAGTTGTACACTCCACTGCCTTTCTGGGACGAGAAACTTTGTGAATGTAGGTGTGTACAGGTCATCTGTGACGTGTAGGCGATTACGATGGGCTGGACATGTAGCTAACTGATACAAGGGGGAATTTCATAAAGAATTGTTGTGGAGTAAAGGTTTTGAAAAGAGCCACTTGGAAGACTGAGAAGGTGAGGGATGAATAACATTAATATGGAACCTTAGGAGACAAACTGTGAGGATAAATGAATGGATCTAGAACAAGATCATATCCAATGAAGATTTTGGTATTAATGGTGTTGAACCTTTGGATTCTGGTACCAGATTAGGCTTGTTAGTGTCTTATCTAAACTCTTGAAGTAGGCATATGACGCCACAGTTAGGTAGCCGATTGGTGACGTAGCATAACCCAAGGGATTTGTTTTGCTGAGGTGGGATGAGACTTCATCTCTCTAAAACTCGGACTCCGAGTGAATATGCAGTATTTATGAAATGATGTTGGCAGGTGAAAACGGAAGGAATCGGAGAGAAACCTGTCTCAGTGCCACTTTGTCTAACAAAATATCACATGGACTCACCTGGCCGTGAACCCGAGTCTTCTCGGTCGGAAGCCGGTGACTAGCCGCCTGAGGTATGGTACGGTCCAGCCCACACTACTTATCGTGGTGGTTGTGATGATATTTATGCAGTTTACAAAATCATTGCAGGGTGGTCATTCAAACTGTAGAAAGAAATATACAAGCCTGTGTCGTAAGAAGGGTGCCCAAAACAGACTTGAAGCCTATGTTCTGTGCTGAGTGTTTATATGCTAATTTAGCATCAGTATATCCACTTAATAAAGATCATAAACAGATGAACTCTATTTGCTGTACTTAATTAACTTGGTGCTGACAAATCTCAACCATGACATAGTACGTTTAGAAGTCTGAACGCTCAAAATTACCACGGCTGTAAACATGGCCATGCAAGTCCCTGATTTATACCATTTTAGGATGAAAATGTGAAAGTAATTCTCCCTGTGCTTCATCATTACTGAAGGAGTGTGTTTCTTTCTCCTTTCATTGCACTCTATTTGGGCCTAACATGGTTGTTAAGCTTCACGCTCCGACCTCGTTACCCCCGTACATTTGATGTCGGACTGGGCTGACCCCAGAGGCTTTCTTCTTTATGTTGGGGGTGAAAGAATCCCTAGGTCCCGAGAGTCGATTCCTGGTCATCCAGTCCGAAGCCCGAATTCCTATGGCAAGCGTAAAGACTTGTAGTAGTCTTTTGTTTTTCTTCCTTTCATTCTTTCTGACTTTATTTTCTCATTCTTTCATTCGCTTTTTACCCCCTCACTTTTCTTTTCTTAATTTCTTAGTTTTCGACTCTTTCGTTTCTTCGTTGATTTCGATTTCTTCTTTGTTCAACTGTTTCTTTCTCTAGCTTTCTTCGTTCGTTTCTTTCTGCCGCACATACTCTTCTTATCCTGTGTGATGTGGACGCTATATAAGTTACTTATTTTCGTGGTTCAGCTTGGGCATTCCACAGCACGGCGAGCTGGTTTCCTCCTCGGTGCTCTAGACAGACATTGTAACTTGCACATGAAGGGACACGACGTAGTGGTTGCTAGTACACGTAATCGCATTCTAAGTAAGTGAACTCGCCCCGCATGTAAGTTTCGTACTTGGTGCGAAGCAGTGTTTTAAAATTTTACGCTTCACAACAGTGACCTGCATAATAAAACGAAAACGAATTTAAAGCTTAGTGATGTTGCTATTCTGGGTCTTGTCTCCGTGTGGACTCGTCAACAAATGCCCTGAAGATGGATACAATGTTTCTCCGAAACGTTGGCATCTACCGACGAATCTACAGGGCGGTGCGCCGTGATAACCTCAAATCTCACACTTTAAAGCTTGTCGAACCAATGTAAAAAAAAACTGGTACTGATGATTTCCTATTACGCCGAAACGCATATGGTTGTTAATTTTAATATTTATTTAAACCTTAATAATAAACAGTCAGTGTGCTCCATGTTTCTGGTGCTTGCTTTTGTCCGTGGAAGGCAGCAGCCTATATTTAGGAGCGATATGATTCAGTGCTCGACTTGGCTAAACAGACGCTCTGTGTTAGAGCCTCTTCTCCTGAGGACCCAGATGCATCAGTGGACGGTCGTGTTCTCACTTTACGAATACCGTTTCACAGTTTTCAAGTGGGCACACAGATGTTACACAGACCTAGCTAAGTAACTGGATTATTGGGCGAAAACGTCTGGACCAGTTTAACGATCAAATTCTGGCTTGTTTATCGTCTTCTTGAAACATCTGGTTGGTTCTGGAGAATGTTCTGACTTGTGTTGTTGCTCCGAAAGCCGTTGTCTCGCGTCCTAGCTTCAAAATATTATGGTAATGGGCCCAAAACAATTAGTCGTAATTAATATATTATAATGTATGAAATGTTTGTATTGAGTTCATTTAGAAATAAAAGTTAGTGTGAGACAATTCACCGATTAACACGTTAAATTCAATAAAAGTTATCACTCGCCCTGATTAAGTACATCACACGAACTTGGCGAGTAGCGGAGGGAAAGCTACACGCATTTTTAACCTCGCGTCTAGATAGTCGTCATTTTCACACTCCGGCCGCTTTAAACCCAAATCTAATTGGATGGGAGAGTGGGTGGACCGCAGAACAGTTGCAGACACGGTCGTGACGAAGTGAAAACTCCGGCTGCTGTCAAATATAGGGCCCCTAAAGTCCTTCTCTAGCCTCTCACTGTACGGATTGACGTACACAGTGTAATAACAGATCTTTCTTATTTTGAAATTGATATTACCGTGATTACTTAGATTTAGATCGGTCACGGACTTCCAGGACGATGCATGCATGTACCAGTGTCCTTAAGAGGAGGGACAGAATAGTTAAATGTTGGAGATGACTGTTTTCTGGGATGTTGCGCCATATAGCATGGTAGAAGTTTACCGCTGTTTCAGAGGTGTTTGCTTCTTCCATCATCAGAGCAATTCTCACCGTTTAAAATGATTTTACATGACCTTTGTGATTTAGACTGCTGCATCAGCTGTCTATTTTCATGAAACTCTGCAATTCTAAATTAAACTTGTTAGTTATTGTGTTATCTACGTTGTACGTATCCAAGAGTTCCACTAATAAACAGGTTTGTTGTTTATTGTTGAGATTATCTTTATGTTTAACAGTTATGTTTTGTGAATATTCGGTATACTACTATGAATTGTATTTGTATGTTTCAGGGTTTCGTGTCAGTCACGATTTTCTCCAGTCTCCCTCACTGCTACTCATACCTCGCCTATTGGAAGGAACTGGTCACTTCACTTGCATTCCGAATCAGGAAAACAAGGTAGGGAGCGCCACTTACCTGACTGTATTCAGACAGGCATTTGGTTTTACAACTTGCATTCCGTATGTAAGGATTCTGATCACTTGTTTCTTCAGATATTTAAGAGGCATCAGAGCATCGAAGCCAGAACAATAGGCCGTATAACATGACGTTCTTTGTGTAACCGAAGAATGTAAGTCGTCTTATTTGTTTCATTGCATTGTAGTTGCAGTCTGTCTGTCTCGATACCGAATAACCTGGAATAAACGGATTTGCTTCAAACTTAACACACGGAAATCTGGACCAAAAAAATTCAGGTTTTTGGCCAAATTGATTAATACACTCTATGTCATTAAGGAGACTAATAACAAAACTGACTTCAAGGAGAATAACTCTGCTGTCAAGAAATTCTCACCTTTTAAGGAATCAGAAGGTTTATTACCTTGTTCCGTCCATATTATTTATTAAAAATCTATTTTAATATTACCCTCACATCTGAGCTTAAGTCTTCCAAGTGGTTTCTTCTCTTCAAAATTTTGAACCAAAATTTTATGCAATTCTTTAATCTCCTCTGTGAGCACTACATGCCCCGCCCATCTCATCCTCCATGGTTTGATCGTCCTAATATTTGTTAATGAATACAGATTATGGAACTTCTAGTTTTATGCCAGTTGAGTTGAATCCCTTTCTCGCCTCGAACTCTTCCTCCAAGAACCAATTTTTTTATGGCATTACGATCTATGCCTGGGTCTTCCAAGTGGTGCATTCCCTTCAGATTTTCGGAATAAAATTTTATGTGCAGTTCATATCACCCAGACGTGTGCTACATGAGTTTCCATCGTAATAATACAGTTGATGAAAGTACAAATAATAAAACTTCTTATTAAGAATTTCCTCCATATTAATCCATTTTAGGCCTGGTAATACAGTTTCCTGAGCGCTGAGTATCTGAATGTTGGCTCAGTTTTTCATTAGAAGAAGTGCCCGCTTTATTCACATTTGATCCTTAGCACCTGCGGTGGGTTGAACACGAGACCGGGGTGAATGTAATTTTCTCTGCCATTAGATTGTTCCTTATTTTTTATTGCATCTTTGGACTGTCGATGTCCGTGACAACTAAGGGCCGTTCTGCCCTTCTTACTCGTCCCATCCACTTCGCAGCCACTCCATAGTGTTTTTGTAATTGTCTGTTAAAACTTTATATTCGACATCGCACACGTCTAAGCTGTGTTTGATACACGTATCATTTCCGGTGATGAGCCGGGATAGCTCAGTCAGTATAGTGACTAGCTACGGGCTGGACGACCGGGGTTCGATCCCCGACAAGGGCAGAGGATTTTTCCTCTAGCCTCTGCGTCCAGACCGGCTCTGGGGCCCACCCAGCCTCCTCTACAATGGGTACCGGGGTCCTTTCTCGGGGGTAAAGCCGGCCGGGGCGTGATGCTGACCACTCACCCCCATCTAGTGCCGAGGTCAAGGAAGAGAGGAGCTATACCTCCACTCACCCCAAGCGCCTACATGGCGTGTAGGGGGACAAACTTTATCATTTCCGGTGTTTGATTAGTGTTTCGTTTCCGGTGTCATTGTTGGATTTCATACTGCGTCCGCTGATTTTAGTCTCATGTTCAGAAATTATGTTACTGCTATTAATACAAAAATAAACTCTCTTCATTTTCTAAAAATTGCCAAGTTCTTGTATTAGCGTCATTATTTCATGCATGGGTTGGAATGTTTGGGAGTCGTCCAGCCATGCGCCCACCTTTTCCTCTTATTCTTTCATGATAAAGGGTAACGGCACGTTTTATTGGGTTTTTTTACAAGATGTCTATCACGTTAACGCATACCGAGGAAGTCTTCTCCGTCTGCATATGTTTTCGTTTCGACGTTACTCAACAGTTGAAATTTTAGTGTTAGGATTAATTTCGTAGACACTAAATCGTGTGGAATGAATGGATTTTTGTTTCAGCTTCGTTTACAAGCATCTGTGTATGGATTTTGTTATAGATCCTACTAAGATGTGAACTTGTATCTCTTTGTATCTTATATGCGTCATGTTTGTGTTTGATTAAATATATTTATTTTGTACAGTCTATACACAAACGTTTGAAGTTTATTGATACGATTTGACATTATATAATGTAAAATCGTATTTACGATTAAGAGCGCTAATATAATATTTTACACAATAAAATGTTTTAATATTATATAATTTTTACAACACCAATAAACTTCAAACGTTTGTGTATAGACTGTACAAAATAAATATATTTAAGATGTGAACGTTTTACTTTGTCTGCTTCTCGATGTTGTAAATATTG